CAAGACTGTGTGGTACTAGCATAAAGAAACTCATATACATCAGTAGAATAAAACTGAAAGTACTGAAATTCTTATTTGTGATCAATTGATTTTTTAAAACTTTTTTTTTTCCATGTTTTTTTTTTTTTAATTTATTTATTTGTTTGTTTGTTTGTTTTTGCACTGGGTACAGTCAGAAGCGCGGGAGGGTGAGAGAATTCACCAGAGCCAGAGCGGGGAGCAGATCAGGCAGGCAGAAGGACCGAAGTACACTGCTGAGGGGAGCAGTGGGCAGCAGGAGGGGTCTGCGAGTCATGTGGGACCCTCCTCCAGTGGCCAGGGAGCAGCCGGGGATCGAACCGGCGCTGCAGAGGCCACGGGCAGCTTCGCAACCCAGCGCTCAACCACTGCGCCACCGGGGAGGCCCTTATTTGTGATCAATTGATTTTTGACAAGGGTGTTAAGACAAATTTATTGGGGGGAAGGAATAGTCTTTCAGCAAACGGTACTGGGACATTTGATGTCCACATGCAGAAGAATGGATTTTGACCTTAACTTCATATCCTGAATAATAATGAACTCAAAATGGATCTAAGACCTAAATAGGAGAGATAAAAAACCATAAAACTCTTGGAGGAAAAGTTAGTATAAATCTTTGTGACCATGGATTAAGCAATGGTTTCTTGAATGTGAACTTAAAGCAGAAGCAGTGAAAGAAAAAATAAATTGGACTTCCTCAAAATTAAAAATGTATATACATCGGGCCTCCCCGGTGGCGCAGCGGTTGAGCGCTGGGTTGCGAAGCTGCCAGCAGCATCTGCAGCACCGGTTCCATCCCCTGCTGCTCCCCGGCCACCGGAGAAGGGTCCCACATGGCGCGCAGACCTAGAAGGGTCCCACATGGCGCGCAGACCTCTCCTGCCGGCCCGCTGCTCCCCTCAGCAGTGTACTTCGGTCCTTCTGCCTGCTCTGCTCTGGTGAATTCTCTCACCCTCCCGTGCTTCTGACTGTACCCAGTGCTTGTATAAATAAATAAATCTTTTTTTTAAATTATTATTTATTTATTTATACAAGCACTGGGTATAGTCAGAAGCGCGGGAGGGTGAGAGAATTCCCCAGAGCCAGAGCGGGGAGCAGAGCAGGCAGAAGGACCGAAGTACACTGCTGAGGGGAGCAGCGGGCGGCAGGAGAGGTCTGCGCGCCATGTGGGACCCTCCTCTGGTGGCCGGGGAGCGGCCGGGAGCAGCCGGGGATCGAACTGGTGCTGCAGAGGCCGCGGGCAGCTTCGCAACCCAGCGCTCAACCGCTGCGCCACCGGGGAGTCCCTATATAAATAAATCTTTAAAAAAAAAGTATATACATCAAAAGACATTATGAAAAAAAGTGAAAAGGCAGCCCATAGAATAAGCAAAATTATTAGCAAATCTTCTATATGATGAGGCACTAGTGTCTAGGGTATATAAAGAACTCTTAAAACTTAAGCATAAAAAGACAAATATCCCAACTAAAAATGGATCTGAATAGATTTTTCTCTGAAGGACAGCCAAATGGCCAAGTCACACATGAAAAGATGCTCAGCATCATTAGTCACTAAGGAATTGTAAATCAAAACCACAAGAAGATACTACTTTACACTCACTACTATGATTTTAAAAAGATGGATTATTAGAAGTGTTGGTGAGGATAAAGAGTAACTGGAGGGGCCTCTCTTGTGGCGCAGCGGGTTGAGCACAGCGCTGTGAAGCTGTCGCAGCCTTTGCAAGGCAGGTTCGATTCCCGGTCCGCCAGGAAGATACCCACATGGCACAGCAGACCTTTCCTGTCTCGCCTGCTGCTCCCCTCAGCAGTGTTTTCAGTCATCTGCCTGTTCTGCTCCCCGCTCTGTCTCTGGTGAATTCTCTCATCCTCCTGTGCCTCTGGCCTGTACCCCAGTTCTTGTATAAATAAATAAATCTTTAAAAAAAAAAAAAGAGTAACTGGAACACTTGTGCACTGATAGTGGGAATGTGAAGTGGTGCAGCCTTTGTGGAAAAGTCTAGTAGTTCCTCAAAGGTTTAAACAGAGGGGCCTCCCTGGTGCCCTAGGGGTTAAGTATCAGCATTATCACTGAGACAGCCTAAATTAGAGCTCTGGCCAGGGAGCTAACCCACATATGGTGCAGCAGACCTCTCTGGTCTCACCCACTGCTCCCCTCAGCAGTGTATTTTTTTTTTAAAAAGAGTTATTTATTTATTTATACAAGCACTGGGTACAGTCAGAAGCGCGGGAGGGTGAAAGAACTCACCAGAGCCAGAGCTGGGAACAGAGCAGGCAGAAGGACCGAAGTACACTGCTGAGGGGAGCAGCGGGCAGCAGGAGAGGTCTGCGCACCATGTGGGACCCTCCTCTGGTGGCCGGGGAGCAGCAGGGGATCCAACTGGCTCTGCAGAGGCTGTGTGAAGAGGCCACCAAGGAGGCCCTCAGCAGTGTATTTTTTAGTAGATCCACCTGTTCTGCTCCCCACTTTGTCTCTGGTGAATCCTCTCCCCCCTCCCCATTACTCCACACTCCTGGTTTACAACCCAGTTTTTCTACGCAAAAAAAAAAAAAAAATAAATAAAAAAAAATAAAAAATCTTACAATAAAGGAATAATTCTTAAAAAGAAGTTTATTTTTTTTTAAAGATTTATTTATTGATTGATTGATTGATACATACAAGCACTGGGTACAGTTAGAAGCGCGGGAGGGAGAGAGAATTCACCAGAGCCAGAGCGGGGAGCAGAGCAGGCAGAAGGACCGAAGGACACTGCTGAGGGGAGCAGCGGGCGGCAGGAGAGGTCTGCGCGCCATGTGGGACCCTCCTCCCGAGGCCGGGGAGCAGCCGGGGATTGAACCGGCGCTGCAGAGACTGCCGGCAGCTTCCCAACCCAGCGCTCAACCGCTGCGCCACCGGGGAGGCCCAAAAAAAAGTTTAAACAGAGTTGCCATATGATTGAATTATTCCACAACTAGTTCAGTACTCAAGAAGATTTAAATCATATCTATAGAAAAATCAATACAGTAATATTCATAGCAACATCATTCATAATAGTAAAAAAAAAAAACAGGAAGCAACTCAGCTGTTCAACTGATTCATGGATAAATAAAATAAAATATGGGATAAAATAATAATAAAAATACCTTTCAGTATTTCCATACTATGAAATGTTACTTGGCAAAAAATGGAGTAAAGTACTTACACATGGTGCAAAATGGATGAAACTTGAAAACTGAGATTCAGAGATATTACATAATATGCTCAAGGTCTCTAGTCCAGGGGGCAATTTAACCTACATCTCACTCCAAAGATTGCTCTCCTAATCACTGTGTTATACTATAAATTGTGTTGTGTGTTTTCTTTCCTTAACTAGATTTGGACAAATCTAGTTAGAAGTGCAAGGATTTTATTTTATGTTCCCTTTGTAATTTCTTCATTAATATACTAACTGCTATACACATAGTCAGTGCTCAACAAATACTTAAGGAATGCCTACATGGAGTTGCAACTAGCTTAAAATACCAATTCAAAGAGGATTTAGATTTGAGACAAATCGTATATTCATAATGAATTATTTAAAGGAAATAAGGATATTTAGGGCCACCCTTAACATTACCCTGAGATGTCTTGGTGGAGGAGAACCACACCTTCATCACCCTTGTTGTTCCATATGACTAAGAACTTATTGGTCTGGGAGGATTATGGGTCTGGAACCTGGTATTATCATTTTTTAATTCTTTGGGTCCGCATCTGTTTCCCAGGAACTGCTACTCTAAAAGGTCCAGTCTTTGTGCTGGTGATTCTTCCTGTTTGGCTTTGTTTGCTGCCACACCTCCTCTTGGGCATTTAAATTGAGCACAGTACCTATAGGAGGCAGGCACTGAATCTAACAAGCCAGTTTTATCAGCAAGGTGGTAAATAAGTAATTATGGTGTAATTTTAAGCAAGTCAAGCCTCTGAGCCTTCACTTACCAGTAAAATGGAATTAAATAAGCTCCGCCTACAATATTTCAATATTGTCGGAATTTCATATTTATTAGCGTAACATTTACAGGCAGCTGGAGATATAGTATGGAGAGACTGGGCCCTAGAATCTAGATGGGATTATCTGTGTACAGAAAGACAAAAACTCTATGATGTTGCTTCTGTGTAGCATGTAAAAAGTAAAACAAAAATCACAGAAAGCAGATTGGTAGTTACCAGAAAGGTGGAGGGTTGGGGATGGGCGAAATGGGTGAAGGGGATCAAGAGTTACAAACTTCCAGTTACAAAATGAGTAAGTCAAGGAGATGTAATGTACAGCATTGGCCTATAATCAATATTATGATAGTGCAAATTTGAAAGATGGTAACAGACTTATTGTGATGATCATTTTGCAAAGTATGCAAATGTTGAATTATGTGACACACCTAAAACTAAAATAATGTATGTCAATTATACTTCAATTTAAAAGATTATCTGTACAAGTGGTAGCTGAAATCATTTTCTATTCTCTCGCAGGCTATATTAGAAACACCCACAGTTGAGGGTGAGGGCTGAGGGGTCAGATGGTCGTCCATAATCTGGATATAGGGAAAGATTTCAGGGGTGAGGGAAACTCAGGTAGGAAAGAAGGCTGAAGGAGAAGGAGGTGGAGCCTGCCGGTGCTATTTCCCTTTTCGCCTCTCACCCCACCCCCACCTCAGCCAGTCACTGATTCTGACTTTCGAGGCACAAAGGTAGAAAATTCCTTGGGGTCTCAGACCTAAGGCTCTTATTGTCCTGCTAATCCAGGAGAAAGGGAAAAGGCTGCCCTGCCCCCTTCTAGCTCCCTACCACGTCTTGGTGTTGCAAATGGCAAGCAGTCTCAGTCCCCACGCAATCCCTTTTACAGAACCAAGGAGTCTGCTAGTGTGATTGTGTGTTGTGTGTTGTGTAGAGGAGGATTGGGGGTGGGATTTCATGACGTTACTGGCTCCGCCTCTCGGTGTATATAAGGGGCGCTTGGCGCGCAACGACCCCGAGCAGCAGCTTTGAAGGCTGAGCAACTGAACTCGGCAGCCCCAACCTAACTCGATTTAACTCAGCCTCAACGAACCCGATCCGGGACTCTCTACTCCCTGGGTTTGCAACTGCTCTCAGGTAAACCTTGGGGGCAGACACGTGTGTGTGGCGGGGGTGGGGGGGGATGGCGAGGGTCCGGGCTTGCCTAGGATTCTTTGGCAACCATAGCATGCAGTTGCATCAACGCGGCCATGACCTGTTGCTGGCGAGACCCCGACCCTGGGAGCCAAGGCTCGCAGCTCCACCTCAGCCCGGACCATTTCTGGATGGGGGCATAAGAATCTGGGAGCTGAGTCGGGGGCATAGGGTGGTGTGAGCAATATTGGGCTGCTCAGGGGCCCCTCATGGGGCGAGTCTCCAAATCTTTAGATATAGAAGCCCCGCCTCACTGTTGATGCTTGCTGGTCAGCCTGGCAGGGCGGGAGGAAGTGGGGGATCATTTGCTTACTCCCCTGGGCGGTGGCAGCTCCAGTTATGCGGTGTGGGCTTGATGAGAAAGGGATAGAATTGAATCACTGCTCACTTTTGATCTGCTGGCGAGGTCTATTCCCCCCCACCCCTTCCTCTGGACGACCTAATGACCATGCCTTTTGAAACCAGAAAGCAAGCCCGAAAAGGAATATTGGGTGTGAGAAAGGGGTTTTCCCAGAGTTACTGGCACCTCTGGGTTGAGTTCTATTAATTCCCAAGGAGCCACAGGCCAGGGAACAGACACAGATTCTCCCTGTATCAACCCTATATAGTTTTCCTGCTAGAGAAGACACAAATATTGACTGTTCACCCACCTATACTAGGTTCCAGGTAACTATACTATAGAGGGCTTTCATTTTTGAAATTAGTTCTTCCACAAACCTGCCAGGTATTGTTATTCCTACTTGCATGGGAAGAAACTTGCCTTTGTCCCTTCAGTGTCCTCTCCTCCCCCCATCCCCACCCCCACAGTTCTTTGGCTTGATGGGATGGGTTTTGTAATTCACTTTTAGAGTTTAAGGATAATGAGCCCTATTGAAGGTCTTTTGTCTTGCTTTTTACCAGATCCTAGCACCCTCCTCAATTCCAGCTAGAATGCTGTGGCAGGCACTTCGCAGATTTGGTCAAAAGCTGGTACGCAGACGAACACTGGAGCCAGGCATTGCTGACACTCGCCTTGCTAGATGCCTGAGCACTCTGGATCTAATCGCCTTGGGTGTGGGCAGTACATTGGGTGCAGGCGTGTATGTCCTGGCTGGTGAAGTGGCCAAAGATAAAGCAGGACCATCCATTGTGATCTGCTTTTTGGTGGCCGCACTGTCTTCTGTGTTGGCTGGGCTGTGTTATGCAGAGTTTGGTGCCCGGGTTCCTCGTTCTGGTTCTGCATATCTCTACAGTTATGTCACTGTGGGTGAACTCTGGGCCTTCGCCACTGGCTGGAACCTCATCCTGTCCTACGTCATAGGTGAGATGGTGGGGGTGGGGCTGCACATCCAGTGAAGGAGTTTTGGCCCACGAAATCTGGGTGGAATGGTGGAATAGTTCCTTCTACTTACCTCTCAGTCCTAGTTTCCTTAATTGACTGGTTTGGTTCTTAAGAAGTTAGAATACACACCAAATATATATAAAACAACCAAAAAGTTAAAATAACAGATTCTTGTGAGACTGGTATGAGGAAGGGATGAAGGGGAGGAGACATGAAACTTGACCCCCTGTTTCTCCCTCTGCTCCACCAGGTACAGCCAGTGTGGCCAGGGCCTGGAGCTCAGCTTTTGACAACCTGATTGGGAACCACATCTCTCAGGCCCTGCAGGGGAGCATCTCACTGCATGTGCCCCATGTCCTCGCAGAATATCCAGACTTCTTTGCCTTGGGCCTTGTGTTGTTGCTCACTGGTGAGGCAAGCTGTAGGGATAATGATGGGGCAAGCCAGGCTAGGAGGGACTAGACCTGAGAAGGGCTTGGTGGAGGTGATAATAGAAGAGATGCTGGGAAGGAATGGTTGACACAATCAGGTGGGGAAACAAAACTTGAACAGAGGATTTTCTCATGGTCCTGAGTACCTCTCTTCCACAGGATTGCTGGCTCTGGGAGCTAGTGAGTCAGCCCTGGTTACCAAAGTGTTTACAGTGGCGAACCTTTTGGTTCTCGGTTTTGTCATTGTTTCTGGCTTCATCAAGGGGAATCTGCAGAACTGGAAGCTCACGAAAGAGGACTACAGAATTGCCGTGGGAAGAGCCAATGATACTTACAGGTTAGATTCATTCTCATGAGATGCAGATCTGGGAACATGATGGGGTGGGGGTGAAAGGGGCAAGGGAACCATGCTAAAGGTTTCTGGTTTGGGAGTGAAGAGGAATGGAAGTTTAGGCCTTTGAAGACATAGCTATTAAATAGTTTCTTATTTGCGGAAAGGTACAGAGTTGGCTGAACTCAACCTTTTCTATCCCTTCTTCCACTTTAGCTTGGGACCTCTGGGTTCTGGAGGATTCATGCCTTTTGGCTTCCAGGGGATTCTCCGTGGAGCAGCCACCTGTTTCTATGCATTTGTTGGTTTCGATTGTATTGCTACCACTGGTAACAGTCATTCCCTTCTGTCTGGGACTTGGGCACAGGGTGTGCTCAAGCTGCATGCAGATTGGGGGTGGTAGAGGAGCAAGCCTTCTTCTCTGCTTCAGAACCTGTACTCCTTCCTGCAGGGGAAGAGGCCCAGAATCCTCAGCGTTCCATCCCCATGGGCATTGTGGTTTCACTGTTCGTCTGCTTTTTGGCATATTTTGGTGTCTCATCAGCACTCACACTCATGATGCCTTACTACCAGCTTCAACCTGAAAGCCCCTTGCCTGAGGCATTTCTCTATATTGGATGGGCACCTGCCCGTTACATAGTGGCTATTGGCTCCCTCTGTGCTCTTTCTACCAGGTCAGTGTCAAATGTTCATTCTTGGCTTGAGAGTCTCAGGTTTTAGCACTGAGTACCAGAGAGTACCCCCTCAAAGGGCTTTGAGGGGAAGGTGGAGACTCCTTAGCCACACAGGCTCGGGTAGAGACCCCAATCAGCTCATGCCACTCTGGGCATTCTACTCTCCAGCCTCTTGGGCTCTATGTTCCCGATGCCTCGGGTGATCTATGCGATGGCAGAAGATGGCCTCCTGTTTCGTGTCCTTGCCCGAATTCATACCGGCACACGCACACCCATTGTGGCCACTGTGGTCTCTGGCATCATTGCAGGTGAAAAAATAGTCTTTCCCCTTCCCTTAGTTTTATCGGCTCCCTTAAGTTTGCTCTTCCCTCTCCTCATTCCTTGTTTTCTGCTCATCAATTTCAGCATTCATGGCATTCCTCTTCGAACTATCTGATCTTGTGGACCTCATGTCAATTGGGACCCTGCTTGCTTACTCCCTGGTGGCTATTTGTGTTCTCATCCTCAGGTGAGCCCTTTGTCCTTTGCATACTGTGATCTGAGTTTTTATTCTTTGATAATGAATGATAAAGATCTGTTCCTTCTCCTTCCTCTGCCTTCATTATCCTGGCTCTTAAGGAATCTGGGTATCTCTTCCTGCCCTGAAGTGCTTTAACTCTTACTGGTGATGAGGAAGGTTAAGCTGCCTGAGAAAAGATGGCAAAGTGGTTAGGGGTTATTAATATTACCTTCTAACTCTCGCCTCAGGTATCAGCCTGACCAGGAGATGAAGAATGGGGAAGATGAAGTGGAGTTTCAGGAGGAAAAAATACCTGGAACAGAGAAGCTGACCCTACAGGGACTATTTTGTCCACTCAGCACCATCCCTACTGCACTGTCTGGCAAAGTTGTCTATGTTTGTTCCTCACTGCTTGGTGAGCAGTAGGATTTTAATCTGGGGTGGCTTTGAGGTCAGCATGATGGGGGAGGAGGATGTATGTGGTATTTGGTGGCAGAAGAACTAAAGATGATGTGGAATGGGGGAGAGGGAAAGCTAACATCTTAACATGTTGATCTGGAGAGTTGGTTTTAATGTTTTTTGACTTGACTCTTGAAGCGCTACTGCTTACTGTTCTTGGCTTGGTGCTGGCCCAGTGGCCAATTCCACTGCTTTCTGGAGATCCAGTCTGGATTTCAGTGGTTGTGTTGCTCCTAATGCTCATTACTGGGATCACTGGGGTCATCTGGAGACAGCCACAGAGCTCCACTCCCCTTCATTTTAAGGTAAATGATCTCTCTTTCCCTCCCCACCACCTTATCTTGAAGAATAGGCTCCAGATACCTTATGGTCTTAATATAGGGTTCATAGATAAGGAAGGAAAGAGAAGATACCTAGGCCCAACCTCTTCTGACTTTCTTCATGTACTTTCTTGTTTCATTACTCAAACTCTGTTTATTCTTGGAGTCCTGTATGAGGTGCACTAAATGAGAGGGCTCGAGATACACAGTATAAGTAAGAATTGGACTCCTTTTGCTGGCCTGGGTAGGTTAGGACTTTTTATTTACTTTTTTAGAAAGATTCATTTTTATTTATTTATGCATACAAGAACTGGGGTGTAGGCCACAGATGCGAGGGTTAGAGGATTCACCAAAGACAGTGGGGAGCAGAACAGGCAGACTGACTGAAAACAGTGCTGAGAAGAGCAGCGGGAGACAGGAGCAGTCTGTTGTGCCATGTGGGTTAGCTTCCTGGCTGGAGATTAATCTCATGTCACAGTGGCTGGTGATAACTTGATGGTGCTGAGACTTTAACCCCTGCGACGCCAGTGAGGTCCAGGTTAGCAACCTTTAAAAGCTAGGTCACTTGGGCCTCCCCGGTGGCACAGCGGTTGAGCGCCGGGTTGCGAAGCTGCCCGCAGACTCTGCTGCGCCGGTTCGATTCCCGGCTGCTCCCCGACCACCAGAGGAGGGTCCCACGTGGCGCGCAGACCTCTCCTGCCGCCCGCTGCTCCCCTCAGCAGTGTACTTCGGTCCTTCTGCCTGCACTGCTCCCCGCTCTGGCTCTGGTGAATTCTCTCACCCTCCCACGCTTCTGACTGTACCCAGTGCTTGTATAAATAAATAAATAAAAATAAATCTTTAAAAAAAAATAAATAAAAGCTAGGTCACTTTGTGATATTACAAAAATTTTGCTTTGTCCCCAGGTACCTGCTTTGCCACTCCTCCCGCTACTGAGCCTTTTTGTGAATGTTTACCTTATGATGCAGATGACAGCTGGCACCTGGGCCAGATTTGGGGTCTGGATGCTGATTGGTAGGTATCCTCTTGGGAACAATAGGCCTCGAGTAAACTATCCTAACTCCTTCCCCTCTTGATCTCCAGTAGACCCATTTAGCTTCCACAGGTCACTATTTCTCCATCTCACAGCTACTTTTCCCCACTAGGGTTTGCTATCTACTTCGGCTATGGGATCCAGCATAGCTTGGAAGAAGTTAGGAGTGACCATCCCCCACTCAAGTCAAGAGCCCAAACTGTAGACCTTGAACTGTAGTCCTTTTTTGAACACACTTGATTTGACATCATCATACCTGAATGCTGTTTGGCCCCTCTGCACGAGAGTTAGGCCTCCTATGGTATGTCTGTGGGGGAGCAGTAGTAGAGCTCTGTATTTATTGAGGAGTGAAGGATGTGTCTTTGCTGGTTCTAATCTACTTTTTTTTTTCACTCTTTCTAATTGTGTCTATAACTGCTTACTCACTTTTCAAAAATGATTAAAAGAAACCTGGAAAGGAAACAATGTCTTGTTCTTTACTTGCTAGGGATAATGAGAATGGAGACTGACTTTCAGAGTGGAGAGCTTCAGAGAAGTATTCTTTGTTTGCTCCAGTCACCATAAAAGTATCAGTTATGCCTGTGTGTGCTTATTGGTTCAGGGTTTGAGGAGGGTGGTGTAAGTAACCATAAAGTCTAGTTACCCATGGGGCCTTCCTGGTGGTGCAGGGCTTAAGACAGCTCTTTCAAGCTATTGCCAGCCACTGCAGCATGAGTTCAATCCCTGGTCCAAGTTCGATCTCTGACTGACCAGGGAGCAACCCACATGGCACAGCAGACATCTCCTGTCTTGCCCACTGCTTCCCTCAGCAGTGTATTTTGGTTAGATCTGCCTGTTCTGCTCCCTAACTCTGTCTCTGGTGAATCCTTTCACCCCCCCCCCACCTCTGGCCTGTACCCCAGTTCTTGTATGCATAAATAAAACTTTAAAAAATATTTTTAAAAAGTCTAGTCATGCTTAAAGGAATGGTGTTGAGATATGTTTTCCCCTTGCTATACTAAAGGTTTGGTCCTGAATATAAGTAGACAGCAACATTCTTCTCTGGGATTTGGGGGTGGGCTCTGATCTTAACACTGGGATTGGTCAGGGCCTACACTGAGACCATTGTCTTCTGTTCCACTCTTTCTAGTTGGACAAGTCCCAGAAATTTTGCCTGGGGTGTTTTTTCAGTGCTGGGAGAAGGGGTGTTTGGGGGGTGTTGGTGAAGGACTGTATATATGTATAGATGCAGACAGGAACAAAGGTCAGAACTCTGCTAAGATCAAGAACTTTTCGTTCATTAAGCAAACTTGTTGGACCTCTTATAAAATGCTATGTATGCTCTATGCAGGGTGCTGGGGATACAAACATGAACAAAATAGTCCCTTCCCTCAAGGAGTTCACAATTCAGGGGCTGGTGGGGATTCCCCCCTGGGTAAACTTGAAACAATGTGATTTAAACTAGGGCAGGTATAAGTGCTGAGTGCTGTGGAAGCATAAAGGACCTGCTTGACCAGAGTAGGTACTTATGAAGTCAACTGAGAGATGGTTTATTTGTCAGCAAAAAGTATACATGAAATCAAGAAGTATAAATAAGCATATTGTATTTAGGGGTATGACATATAATTTAATGTGGCTAGAGGGTGGAGTATGTAGTTGTGGTTAAAGAACATGAATGACCTTGTATAACCTATCAGATTGTGTGTGTGTGTGTGTGTGTGTGTGTGTGTGTGTGTGTGTGTGTAGGTAGGTGGGAGGGAAGTCACTGAGGAGTCTAAGCAAATGGCATGGCTGGATCTGTTAGGCTGACAGCAGCAAGGAAGATGGCTTAGAAGAGGGTGGTGAAGATAGTGTTTCAGCTACCATTTATTGAGAATTTGCTATGTCAGGTATTTCGCGTACAGTCTGATTTAGTCCTTGCAGTAACCCTATGAAATAGATACATGCTTAATTTTTTTTTTTATGAGGGAACAAATTTTGGGTAAGAAATATACTTTAGGTGACATAATACAGAATGGTCAAGACCAGGATACAAACCTGTTTGGCTCTGCTGCCTATGATCTTTAACCACTGTGACATTGCTAGTAGCAGTAATTAGTGCATTGCACTAATTTGGCAAAGTATTTTAGGGTTTTTGATCAGTTGGATGTAGGAAGTAAGAAAGAAGTGGGTGGCTTGGATATTTGGATGAAATATGTGGGTGATTAAATTATTAGTTTAGAGAGCATAAGTAGAAAAGCATATTTAGGGAAAGATCAACAGTTTCAGAAATGCAGAGTTCATAAGCATAAACAAGAGTTGGACTTCATGCAGGTAAAATTATATAATCAATTATTGGAATTTGGAGCTAGAGGTCTGGGCTAGACAAGATTTAGGAGTCACTAATTCAGAAGATAGGGGCCTCCCTGGTGGTGCAAGGGCTTAAGAACAACACTGTGAAGCTATTTCACAGACTCTGCAGCATGAGTTCAATCCCTGGCTGGCCAGGGAGCTACCCATATGGCGCAGCAGACCTCCCCTGTCTCTCCTGCTGCTCCCCTCAGCAATGTATTTCAGTTGATCTGCCTATTCTGCTCCCCACTCTGTCTCTAGTGAATCCTCTCACCCCACCTCCCCACACCTCTGGCCTGTACCCCAGTTCTTGTATGCATAGATAAATAAATCTTTAAAAAAACAGAAAATAGGTATATGTGATAGAGGTTGTGGGGGAGAGGAGCTAAAGATTGCTTTGAGAGAAAATAAAATTAAAAAAATTTTGCAGCATAAATTGTAAAACTTTATATACAAAGAGTTCTTAGAAATCAGTAAGATTAATAACATGCTAGAAAAATGATTAAAGGATATAAATAGTTTTGAGAAAAAGAATACAAAGCACCAATAAATATAAGGGAAAAAAATAACACCCAAATTCACTCATTGAAGAAATGCAAATCAAAACAACTGTGAGATCTCAGTTCTTACTTTACAGACTCAGACTGGCAAGAAAAAATTTCAATGGCTATTCATTGGCAAAAGTGTGGGTAAACAGGCAATCATATATGATGGGGCTACATATTCTTGCAACTTCTGTTTTTTTTTTAAATATTTATGCATATAAGAATGGGGGTACAGATCAGAGGTGTGGGCGGGGGGTGGTGAGAAGATTCACCAGAGACAGTGAGGAACAGAACAGGCAGATTGAATGAAATACACTGCTGAGGGGAGCAGCAGACAAGGAAGGAGAGGTCTGCTGCACCCTGTGGGTAGCTCCCTGGCCAGGGGTCAGGGATGGAACTTGTGCTGCAGTGACTGCGGATGGCTTCATAGGTTATGTCTTAACACCTTGCTCCACTAGGGAGACTCTGCAAATTCCGTTGATGGTAATTTGATGACACAAGAATTAGATACATTTTCTTTGATCTGACAATTAGTGAGAACTTTAAAAAATTTACATATGTATAAGGAAGTTTATAGTAACTTTGTAATAGTACAAAATTTGGAAGCTGCCTAATGTGCATCAGCAAGGAACTAGTTAAATAAGATATATTCAGTGGAATACTTAAGCAGTAATTACAAAAGAGAATTATACATGCCCAGAGAGGATATGAAAATACCTCCAAGATACACTCATTATTTTTTTTTAAAGATTTATTTATTTATTTGTACAAGCACTGGGTATAGTCAGAAGTGCGGGAGGGTAAGAGAACTCACCAGAGCCAGAGCAGGGAACAGAACAGGCAGACCAATGAAGTACACTGCTGAGGGGAGCAGTGGGCGCTGCAGGAGAGGTCTGTCGTGCCATGTGGGACCCTTGCTGGCGGCCGGGGATCGAACAGGTGCTGCAGAGGCTGTGGGCAGCTTTGCAGGCCAGCGCTCAACCACTGCACCACCAGGGGAGGCCCTGATACACTCATTATTATAGAAAAAAGGTGCTGTACATTTGTGTGAACAAAAGAGTTTGTATTTATACGTAATTTTTTCTTTCGAAAAATGTTCAGGAAACTTTTTCTGTACTTCAGGTTTTTTTTTTTTTTAACTAGGTAGAAACATTACTTTTTTCATTCCTTTAATCACAATAGTAAAAGATTAGAGGAGCGCTAATATTTAAGGAGTAGAGAACTTCACTGAAGCAGATTGAAGAAATAACTGAAGAGACAGGAGAGTGATGTGGAGATTTGGGGAGGAAAGAACTTTTCAGGAACAATCAACAATGCCAAATGCTGCTTAGAGAACCAAGTCAAATAAGATAAGGACAGAAGAGGGTTCATTGGTTTTCTCAGTTTGTAGGTAATTGATCATTTTAAGAGCAGTTTCAGTCCAGTAGTTGGGGTGAAAGCCATAGCGTAGTGGGTTGAGTGAATGGAAGTTGAGGAAGTAGACACAGACTATGGGAGAGCATTTCAGGGCAACAGCTGGAGGGAGTGGAGGTAGGAAATTTTTTGTTTTATAGGATGGGCCATTCTTGTATTTATATGCTTAAAGAAGATTGTCAATAGAAAGGGTGAATAAATCCTGGTAATACTGTTTAAATAAACCTTTAGTGAAGGTGGGAAATGTGCTATGATTAGATTCTCTGTTTTTTTTTCTTTCATTCACTGAAGTGTTTCCCAAACTTCAGACAGGTAAGTACAACCATGAATAGTTCTTTATTTGTCTAATTCTTATACTGATTATTTTATTTTTTGGGTAAATTTATTTATATTTATTTATGCATGCAAGATCTGGGTGTGTGTGTGAGAGGATTCGTCAGAGACAGAGTGGGGAGCAGAACAGGCAGATCTACTGAAATACACTGCTGAGGGGAGCAGCAGGCGAGACGGGAGAGGTCTGCGGTGCCATGTGGGTAGCTCCCTGGCCGGCTGGGGATAGAACTCATGCTGCAGTGGCTGGCAATAGCTTGATAGCGCTGAGACTTTAACCCCTGTGCTACCAGGGAGGCACCTTATACTGATTATTTTAAAAACATACTTTCTTTTTTAGCTTAAATATACGTACTTAAAAAATAAAACACTTTACCACTATCATAAATGGAAAGCAAAGTATTTATATATATATATTACAATAAGTATCCATCTATTAAAAATATTTGGCTGTGTATCACCTAAATCAATGACATGTACCACACTGGAAATACTTAGGCAGCTAACACAAAAATCTTATAGGATGCTATGCTTGAAGATGGACTAGCAAATTTCTTGAATGATTTTACTAATCTAATCTATCTAATCTTAATCTCTTCAAGGAGTCAGAGATAAAATTTGTCCAAATAAATACAAAGGCACTAAGTAGGAAATAGTTAAGTGTCCTAAAAGAGGTAAGCATGAAGTACCATGAAAATTCACACGATGGAGTTCTGGGAAGTTTTCATGGATTTTGAGGGTTTTAACTTAGGCCTTAAAAGATAGGCAACGTGTAATTTTAGAAATGGGGATAGAGCATTTCAGGAGGAGAGAAACTTGTGCAAAGGTTAAGCGCATGGGAAAATTTATATTTTCTCAGAGAAGAATATTTTGAAGGGGTCAAATGGCGGGGTGGGTAAATCAGGAAAGGTAGATAACAGTCAGACTCTTGATGACTGTTAGTTAATTCCAGGGTCTGCAACTTAAGGGTAAAAGTGTGTGGATGAGAGTGTTATATTTTTGGGTCTGTTTCTGGGCTCGACCTTGTTCCCTTTATCTGCACAATTATTGTACAATTGCATTTATGGTAGTTTTAATGCAGTCATGAGTGGCTTAACATTTCACTAAAGGACGGATCATGTACGACAGTGGTCCCATAGGCAATCCCATTGTACCCTAGGTGTGGCGGAGGCTATATCAGCTAGGTATAATTAGACAATGAAATTTACCCAGGAAGGAATTTCTCAGACCATATCCCCATTATTAAGTGATACATGATTGTGAGGTGAGAGTAGTTCTGTGATTTAGTTCAGTGAATTACAATTCAGCTAG